TCCCCAAGGACTTCCTGCTCAGCCTGAGCCCTCGCTTCCTTGTCCTTCAGGCCAGCGTGGTGGCTTCGGTGGAGGTGGCATGAGCCGTGGGCGCGGGCGGCGGGACAACGACCTGATTGGGCAGACGGTGCGCATCTCCCAGGGACCTTACAAAGGTGAGTGGTTTTCGGATGGCAAGAAGCTGTGGGTTGCCCTGGTTCCCTCGTCAAATGACCGTTGGGACTCATAGGCTACATCGGGGTGGTGAAGGATGCAACGGAGTCGACGGCCCGGGTGGAGCTGCATTCTACCTGCCAGACCATCTCGGTGGACCGCCAGCGCCTGACCACCGTGTGAGTACAAGGACGGGGAGCTGTGCTGCTCCCTCTGCAGGACGGCCTCTTAGGGGCTTCTTCACATCCTTGATGCTGCAGGGGTTCAAGGCGCCCGGGTGGGATGACGTCGACCTACGGACGGACCCCCATGTATGGGTCCCAGACCCCCATGTACGGCTCTGGCTCCCGCACTCCCATGTATGGCTCCCAGACGCCCCTCCATGATGGTGAGTGGCGCTGGGGATCGACAGAGAGGGGATGGAGTTTAAGTGGGTTCTGGGGTGATCTTTTGGTTGGAAAGGGGTGTGTGAAGGAGGCTTTGAGGATGAGGAGGGGACGGGGCTGAGGTGGAGGGGACGGGACTCGGTGGGGAGGCAGAGGGTTCTGACGCAGCCATTGTGGGGCTGTTGCAGGCAGCCGCACGCCACATTATGGCTCACAGACTCCGCTTCACGATGGCAGCCGCACGCCTGCTCAGAGCGGCGCCTGGGACCCCAACAACCCCAACACACCTTCCAGGTGAGTGCAGGGGGGGGAGGAGGGGCTGCTGACCAGGACAGACCCACCGCAGGGTCTGCGGTTACTGTGATGTCCCCAACATCATCACAACAGTCACTTTTGGGATCTCTGATCGTTGCCATGGCTCCAGCGATTCTGGATTGTCCTCACTGCAGGGGCCCAGTCACTGAACTGAGCTGGCTGTGGTGATGAGGTTTGTCTTCCTTCCACAGAGCCGATGAGGACTTTGAATATGGCTTTGATGACGAGCCCACGCCCTCACCACAAGGCTACGGTGGCACCCCCAACCCACAGACCCCTGGTTATCCTGACCCTTCATCACCGCAGGTCACCCAGCCGTACAACCCCCAGACCCCTGGCACGCCAGCCATGTGAGCATTCCTTCCACTCTGCACTGGCCCTGGAACTCTGGGAGGGGAACCACAGCTCTGTGGAACCACAGTTGGGATCCTGAGGGGAGACTGCAGCCCCAGAGGATCCCAAACCGTGGCTCTGGGTTGACATAATGTTCCCTGAGGTCTCCTACATGCAACACAGCATCCCCATGACTCCCTCTCACCCTGGCAGGTACAACACTGACCAGTTCTCACCCTACGCTGTGCCATCTCCACAAGGCTCCTACCAGCCCAGCCCCAGCCCCCAGAGCTACCACCAAGTGGCCCCCAGCCCTGTGGGCTATCAGAACACCCATTCACCAGCCAGCTACCACCCAACGCCATCACCGATGGCCTACCAGGTACCCCCAGTTCCACTCCCTTGCCTCCCATAGCCTCCCACTGCTGCTTATGCTGCCTTCTCTCTCCCTCAGGCAAGCCCTAGCCCCAGTCCAGTGGGCTACAGCCCCATGACACCTGGGGCACCATCTCCAGGGGGCTATAACCCCCACACCCCTGGTTCAGGCATCGAGCAGAGCTCCAGCGACTGGGTGACCACTGACATCCAAGTGAAGGTCCGGGACACCTATCTGGATAGCCAGGCAGTGGGACAGACCGGGGTGATCCGCAGCGTCACGGTGAGCCCACGGTGGTACCACGTGTGGGGCGGTGACAGGACTGTAACAAACCTTATCACCGATTCTCTGTTCTCCCCTTCACCCCCGCAGGGTGGAATGTGTTCTGTGTACCTGAAGGACAGTGAGAAAGTGGTGAGCATCTCCAGTGAGCACCTGGAGCCCGTCACCCCCACCAAGAGCAACAAGGTACGCTCATCACCGCTCCCCATGCCGCCCCTGCCCCTCTTGGGCTCAGCCTCCCCCTCCTGCCTTGCCCGGGGACCCCCTTGGCTCTCCCACCCCTTTCAGTCCCCTTCACTCTCCCTGGATCCCACCGCACAGCATAGGGGAGGGCTCATGGATCCCCGTGGCCCTTCCTGGGCTACCTACCAGATACCCCTCAGCCCCATTGGGCTCCTGCTGTCCCCACAGGTGAAGGTGATCCTGGGCGAGGACCGCGAGGCTACCGGCATCCTGCTCAGCATCGACGGTGAGGACGGGATTGTGCGCATGGACCTGGACGAGCAGCTCAAGATCCTCAACCTGCGCTTCCTGGGCAAGCTGCTGGAGGCCTGAGCGCTGCTTGGGTCCCCTTCGTTTTTCTCCCCGGCCGCCCGTTTAAAGCGAGATGGCCGTATCCAATAAACGCTTGTGACCCCTCGACCCGCATTCCCTTGAACGCGGCGCTCCGAGGCGAGACTTTCCTGTCCGGGCCTCCACCCTTCCAGCGGCTCTTCCTCCGCCGCTGTTTTGCGCTCTCACGGCCCTCCACAGCCGTCCGCGTCTCCTCCGAAGAAGAGGCGGCGGCGCGACTTACACGGCGTGCTTCCGGGAGGGCGCGGGGGGTGATGGGCATTGTAGGCACTGCTAGCCAGTCAGCGCCGAGCGCGCGGCATGCCGGGAAGCGTGGCAGCGGGAGACGGCGCGGCGCTTTCAGCCAATTAGACCCGGCCGCGGGGGTTGTCGGGAAGCGTGGCGACAGGGATGATAGCGCGGTGCGCAGCTCGTCGGGGAAACGGGCGGCTTCCAGCCAATCAGCGCCGACCGCTGGGCATGCCGGGAAGCGTGGCGATTGGAGACGGCGCGGCGCTGCAGCCAATCAGTGGTCCCCGCGCTGCACGCCGGGAAGCGCGGCGCTTTCAGCCAGTCATCAGCGCCGACCGCTGGGCACGCCGGGAAGCGTGGCTTTCCCAGCCTTAGAGACGAGCGCTGCGGGAAAATGGCGGCGACGGCGGCGGCGCGTGGGGCCCGCATCGCCCTCGCGGCCCACCGGGCCCTCGCCGCGCTGAGTCGCGCCGTGAGCAGCAGCGGTGCGGGCACTTCCGGTACGGAAGCGGTGCTGCAGGAACGGCTACGGCAGCAGCAGGCGGTAGGAGGCGTGGGAAGGGCCGGTCCAGAGGGCTCGGTGCTCGCAGCGGAGCCTCCGGGCCTCACCGTCATCCTTACGCAGGGCCTGGAGGGAACCCCGGGGCGGCCGAACCCCGGTAACGAGGAGGAGGAGCAGCGGAGGAAGCAGCGCTTGGCGGCCGTTCGGCGACTGGCCCTGCGGCTGGCGGGGCTGCTGGGTGCCGGTACCGGCATCACCATCATCTACATCTTCGGTAAGGACCCCCGCGGTGCTGCAGTCCGATCCCCGTCCCCCACCCAACCCCAAACCCCGCCTCACGTTCTTCCCTCCCCCCCAGGCAGCAACGCCGTGGATGAACACGGAGCCAAGGTGAGCTGCGTGTCCCCACGCCGGTGATCCGTGTTGGGAATGGCCAAATAATTGTTGTCAGGACGGTATTTCTGATAAAAAGCGGATTTTATTCGCGATTGCAATGGCAGGAGCAGCGCTAAGGCACAATGAAAGCTTTTTCCTTACGAAGGCAGGCTGAGGGAGCTGGGCTCGTTCAGCATGGAGAAAAGAAGGCTGCGGGGTTCATTGCAGCCTGCAGTACCTAAAGAGAGCCTGCAGACAGGCGGGGGAGTCAGCTCTTGGAAAGGGTTGGTAACAGCAGGACGAGGGGAAATGGTTTGGAGTCGAGGGAGGGCAGATGGAGGTTGGATATCAGGGGAAGTTGTGTGCTGTGAGAGCGGTGAGGGGCTGAACAGCTGCCCAGAGAGGCTGTGATGCCCCGTCCATCCCTGGAGGTGTTCGAGGCTGGGTTGGATGGGGCCCTGGGCAGCCTTGTGTGATGTTAAATGTGGAGGTTGGTGGCCCTGCGTGTGGCAGGGGGTTGGAGCTTCGTGACCCTTGAGGTCCCTTCCAGCCCTGGCCGTTCTGTGATTCTTTGTACCCTTTTTACCTGCCCCCCTCCCCCGTTTCCCCATTGGCTGGGTGCTCCAGGTTCACAATCTTCTCCAAGGTTTCCATCTGTTCATTGCTGTCTTGCATTCAGCTGCCACCCCCTTGTTTCCGAGTTGTCTCAGTGCTCTCCTTGTATTCATATGGTGATTTTCTTCAAACCCTTCGTTAAACAAAGAACACCGGGGGATGGAGGGGGGGATGCCAGGCCTTCCCGATGTCTCTTCAGGCTCTTCCTTGGGCATGCCACGATTTGCTCTCTGCTGCATATCGTGCAGGGTATTCCTGCAATATGCATGGCAAAATATGCCTATACACACCTGTATGCTGAGCACGCATTCCCGTGGAAGGTTCTCTAGAAGATAAGCGATGCAAACTATCAGAACCTCTCCCAAGTAAAGTAAAAAAGACTCCCAACAAGAACTGTGCCAGCGGAGACCATGAAATAAAAAAAAATAGGATTTAGTTCTAATGCAGAAACATTTGACTCCTAAATCCATCACGGCTCTGCACTGCCCTCAAAACCAACCAGGGGAGGCTTCCCATTTCGTGGTGGTTTTTGTTTCCCCCCTCCCCCTTCCCCTCCATCCAAAGCCCCTTTTTGGGGCCGTCTGAGAAGAGCTGTCAGGGTTTGATGTGCGGCCTGGGGGGGAGCTGTGAATTGTTCCCCTTCATCCGGGGCTGTTGGGACATCAAAAGGGCAGGGGGAAAATAGCCAGGGGGTGACAAAGCAATCGGCAGGATGGTGAGAAAATCAACGAGGGGCGGAAGGAAGCGCTGCTAGCACAGGAAAACCACCTCACCTAGCTGTAAATCACCCTGCCTGGGGTTCCCTCTTCCCACCCTTTTGGTCGTGGTTTTTCTTGCATTTGTTTTCCTTTCCCTGCAGGTCCCCGATGAGTTTGATGGTGGTGAGTAACAAACGGAGCAGGGGGGGGGAGGCGGCGGCGGCCCTTGCAGGGGATGGGGGACAAGTTGTGTCCCCTGGGCTGCTTTGACACATGGCAGCGGCCTTTTGTGATGTTGTTAGCACCAGCTGGTTGCCCCAGCGGGGCTTTTTCTCCTACGTGTTGTTTCTTTTCGTTTCTATGGGGATGGTAGGAAGAAAGAGATTGGGATTTTCACCCTCCTTGAGACCCCATGCATTCACCCATGCTTGGTTCCACAGACCCTGTGGGCATCCAGCAGCTCCGCAGGACATATAAGTACTTCAAGGACTACAGGCAGGTGCGTGGGGCTTTCCCCATTTGGGTTTTTATCTCCTTTCGGGGCTGTTCTTGTTGGAAGCCTTGCTGATGTCAGCAGCAGCAGCACTTTAAGACCCCCGTGCTCTTCGGGGGGATCTTTGCCCTCATCCTGGCGACGTCGTGGCCTGGTTTTGGGGTTTTACTGTGGATCTTATTGGGGGGGGGGAGGATTCTCATCCCTGTTTGAAGGGCCTTTGTCCCAGCATTGGTGGCCTGTCTCTTGCTCTTTCTCAATCAAGATGATCATCGAGCCCACCAGTGCCAAGCTGCTGCCAGACCCTCTGCGTGAGCCCTACTACCAGCCGCCCTACACTCTGGTCATCGAGCTCACCGACGTCTTGCTGCACCCCGAATGGTCGGTGAGTGGCAGCCTGTTGTTCCTGCCTCCCTTCCTTTGCTGACGGCCTCATCTCTTGCCCCCTTCTGCCTCCTTTCTCTGCTCCAGCTCATCACTGGCTGGCGTTTCAAGAAGCGTCCGGGCATCGACAGCCTCCTGCAGCAGCTCGCGCCGCTCTACGAGATCGTCATCTTCACCTCCGAAACGGGCATGGTGTGTGCAGCCGTGGGGAAGGGGCTGCAGCCCAAAGATGGGCTCGACTCGATCCCCCCCCTACTCGTCTTTCTATCCCCAGACTGCCTTCCCCCTCATCGACAGCATCGACCCGCACGGCTTCATCTCCTACCGCCTCTTCCGCGATGCCACCCGTTACATGGATGGGCACCACGTCAAGGTGGGGACGGGGAGAGGGATGAGGGACACGTCGGTGCCCCCCCCCCCCCGCCCCCCCGGCCCTATGGCAGCCCTTCTCTGTCCCCTATCCACCCCCAGGACATCTCCTGCCTCAACAGAGATCCTGCCAAGGTGGTGGTGGTGGACTGCCGCAAGGAAGCCTTCTGCCTGCAGCCCTACAACGGCCTGGCGCTGCGCCGCTGGGACGGCAGCTCCGATGATCGCGCCCTCTACGACCTCACTGCTTTCCTCAAAAGTGAGGAGAAAAAAAGAACCCCACATCCTGCCCAGCACCTCTCCCTGCCCAGCCCTGATGTGTTCCCACCCCGCTTCCCTCAGCCATTGCCCTCAGTGGTGTTGAAGACGTGAGGAGCGTGCTGGAGAACTACGCGCTGGAGGACGATCCGCTGGCGGCTTTTAAACGCCGCCGGTCGCAGCTGGAGGAGGTGAGGAGGCTGGGAGAAGACGTGGGAGAGTGAGGAAGGCGCCGAGGTGCAGCGACATCTGAAGGGCGACGGGTGTTTTGTGCTCTGGTTGGGATGCAGGAGGAGCAGCAGCGTTTGGCTGAGATGGCGCAGGGCAAGAAGCCGACGGGGCTCTTCCTGGGCGCCCTGGCTGGCCGTCTCTGGGCACGATCCAAGCAGCAGTGATGGCCCAAGATGTTGTCATCGTGTCACCAGGACGTTGTCATCGCGTTTACTGCATGCTTGGACTTGACTGGTGGTCCTGGCGCTGTGTCTGAGCTACATTTCTTTTTTCTGTTTTGTTATTTTGGGAGGTTTGGCTCCGCGAGGGTGAATAAAGGGTTACGTGGAGCCGTGGGGATTCTACTGCTGCTTTTGTGATGGGGGGCAGGGAGTGTTGTCACCTCTCCCGCTGTCCTGGGGCCTGTGGGAGGATGGAAGAAGCACAGGGGGGCGGCTGCCTCCCCCCCTTTTCCCCCCTATGGGGGTGTGCTGTAGGTGGGGTCGGAGGTGTGGTTTATAACAGGATGGGGCCTGGTCCTTATCAGGGGGTTCCAGGGGTGGCAGCGGGTTCAGACCCTGCTGAGCTCTGGGACCACGTGGGAGCCCCCCTCCCCACTGTACCCCAGCACCGGGCCATGGCTCTGCTGCTCCTGGCTGCCATCCTTGCCCTGCTGTGCCCTTCCGTGGTGAGCGCACCCTGCAGGGGCTCAGGATGCCCTTTGGCAGGGATTTTTGGCTCAGGGGAATTCCCTTAACTTTGCTTTGCTTTGGGTGCTTGGCTGGGCATCTTTGTCCTTGAAGCTCTGAAAAGAAGGGGAGGAGGGGAGGGGGCAGCGGCGCCTTTGTGGGATGTTCTGAATTACCCTCGGGGCTTTTAGGGGGCGCTGAGCAGGGGGTGCTGTGGGGTCTTTGGTAGGGGTCAGTTTGGAGGAGTTTGGGGGATGGATGAGGGATGGCGGTGGGAGGAATCCTGAGGGCGTCCTTCCGTGGGGTGCTGGCGTGCAAGCAGGGGCTTTGGGGTGCTGTGGGGAACTGGAAGGAGAAGGGGGGATTGGGGATCCTGATGCCCACCTGCAGGTGCAGCTGGCTGGGGTGCTGGAGCTGCGGGTGCTGTCGGCGTGGGGGGGGCCGTGCAGGGGCCCCCCTTCTTGTCGCCTCGTTTTCCGTCTCTGTTTGCGCCCCTCCATGGGGATTGGCTGCAGTCTGGGGGCCGCTCAGAGCCCCCCCGGCCCCCCTCCAACCCCAGGGGCTCCACGCATTCTTCGCTTGCCCTTCGCCTTCCCTTGGCCGGTGAGGATTTCCCCCAGCCCACCCTGATGGAGCCAAGGCTTGGGCTTCTCCAGGGTCTTACAAATGCCCTTTCTGTGCCCCCCTTCCCCATCATCTCCCCCCACATCTTTGCTCCCCACTGCCACCAGGGCACTGTCTCCCTCATCATCGAGTCCTGGAGGCTGGAGGAGGCCAAGGGCCCCGGAGGTGAGTAGGGAATTAACGGGGGCTCGAAGGGGGGCATCCTTAGGGGCGAGAGAGTCCTGTGGGAACAGGGAGTGGGAAGAGAATCGTTTGGTCATTAGGGGAGATGAAAGGAGGCGGGTGGGAGGTGGGGATGAATGAAGGGTCGTCAGGTTGTGGGGGGAGCAGCTAGCGCAAAGCAGGGTTGAGGGGGGGTGAAGCCCTGGGTGCCTGGTGAGGGGCTGGCGAGGGGGAGTTCATGTAATCTGAAGGAGATTCGATGTTCGGGGCTGGGGGGGCAGCTGTGCAAGAGGGGCAGATGGAGGTCAGGGGGGGATGGAGGGCAAAGGGGAGCCCGTGGGCACGGGAGGGGGCTGTCAGGGATAAAAGAGGGGGGGTCCTGCTGCTCTCACTGATGTCTGCCCAGGTCCCCAGAGCCGGTTGCTGGGACGTGCGGTGGCACAGCAGCGCTTGGTGCCGGGGGGTCCGTGGCAGGGGGGTGCCGGGGGGGGGGGCTGCGCTTCAGCACTCGCCTCCGTTGCCGCCTTCCCGCCCGTGGCCCCCGCTGCCTCCCCCCCTGCTCCCCCTGCATCCGTCGCTGCCTCCCTTACTCTGCTGCCTGCCGCGTCCCCCCACGCCGTCGCTGCCGGCCTCTGTGCTGCGCCCACCGTGAGTGCCCACCCTCTCCCCATCCGGCTCCGTTCTGTCCCCACCGCCTTCTGATCCCTGTCCCCGTGCAGAGGGCTGTGGGGCTGATGGCCGGGGCTGCACCCTTTCCAGCGCTAACAGCACGGTAAGTGACACCTCCAAAATGACCCCCCCCCCTCTTGCCACCGCCACCCGGGGCTTCCTTCAGGATGAGTCCCGTGCCCCCATTTGCAGGCCTACAGGAGCGACGCTGCGGGGCTGCGCTGCGACCCCCCCGGCCCAATATGGCCCCCGTCACCCAAAGCCCCTGAAACGGCGGAGAAAATCCCCGTGCCGGATCCGCTGCCGGAGGCATCGCCGTCACCCTGTGCCCTGGGGCCGTGCTTCAATGGAGGCGCCTGTGCGCCTGCCCCCAGCTCCGGGGCTGGCTACAGCTGCCGCTGCCCCCCCGGCTTCCACGGCTCCAACTGCGAGCGCCGCGCTGACCGCTGCGCCAACCGCCTCTGCCTGCACGGTGAGCGACCCGCGGCTCCTTTCCTGCCGCGCTGCGCCTCCCCCCGGCCGGCGCTGACCCCCGTCTCCGCCTTCAGGTGGGCACTGCCTGGATCTGGGTCACAGCGTCATCTGCAAATGCCAACCCGGTTTCTCGGGGGCACGATGCGAAAACAACGTGGACGACTGCAGCCCCAACCCCTGTGCCAACGGCGGCACCTGCGTGGACGGCACCAACAGCTACAGCTGCTCCTGCACCCTGGGCTACGCTGGAGACGACTGCCGCCAGCGCGCTGATGCTTGTGCCTCGGGGCCCTGCCTGCACGGTGCTACTTGCTACACCCACTTCTCCGGTCACGTCTGTGCCTGTCCCCCCGGTTACATGGGACCCCGTTGCGAGGAGGAGGTGGGGGGAGGCCCAGCTGCCCCCTATCGCCGACCCCCGGCTCCCTTGGCCCTCGCCTGCGCCCTCCCCATAGCTCTGCTGGGCCCTGGGCTGGGTTTGGTGCTGGCAGCTCGGGGGTGGCGACGGAGGCCAGGGGGCGAGAGGTGAGAGCGGGGCTGCCGGGGGGCTTTGGGGGGCGATAAGGGCAGCGCCTGAAGGGCTTCACCTCTGCAGCGGCCGCACGTTGGAGCCGATGAGGGCCCCCAGCCTGAGCCTTCCTGGGCTGGAGCAGCAGCTGCCCCGTGCCTCTGCCACCCAGGTAGGGTCTGAGCAAGAGAGGGGGGCCATCCTCCAAGCTCAGCACTTGGCTCTTCTTCATTCCCCTTTTCCAGGTCTGAGGTGACGGTAATGAACTTCCACCCCAGCCACGTCCTTTGGGGTCACTTCCTCCATAAACCCCCTTGCGAGGTCCCTGCCGGCTGCAGTGCTGCTGTTCGGCCACGGCAGGGGATGCAGGGAGGATGCACAGCAGCTGGAGGCCAAGCGAGGATGAAGATGGGCCCCGCTGCGGGCCAACGGTGCTGCAGCTGGAGGCTGCGGGGGCTGCAGGCAAAATACAGAGAGCATCATTTAAAAAACAAACAAAACCAGCAGAGGTGCGGATGTGGATTTGAGTCTTCGGTTTTGCTCGTAAAGAGCAGCTTTGATGGATGGGATTTGTTCCCTGGCAGAGAGAGCTGCGGGGTGGCACCGTGCGGCCCAAGGGAGCAGCGGGGTCCAAGGGCTGCTGAGAGCACGGCTGGAGCAGCTGGGGGTCTGTTCCACGACCCTGATGTCACCCACAGTGACACCTCGGCGCG